TGACAGAGGTGGGAACATGCCTCATTAATGCTCTGTCGGACTGCGCAGGGAGGCTGGCACCGATTGCCTTGCCTCGCCAGTCGATCCAGGGCTCGTGCTTCTCAAGCCAGGGCATGCCCAGGATAATATCATATGGATCCATATCGAGAACAGTGAGCTGTTCGAGGCTGTCAAAGTCCTCAAACTTGACGGCCAGATCCACTTGGACGTTGGGGACAGTGACGACCTTCCCATCGGCCAGTCGCACTGACACCGTCCCGTTGTCCTTGCTTTCTCTCAAAACATCGGAAATTTTGTTGCTATTACGTGCAACCGTCTGGCGGCGTGCGAAGCTCTTCGACGCCCCAGAATTGCAAAATATTTAAAGGGTGATCGTAGCCCCGTACACATCCGTGTACTATAAGCCACCCGCCACTGCTCTGTGCCGATTCGAGAGTGCGAAGCCTCTCAGGGGCTAAGTCCCCGTGGTACGTGCCACCCGCTCACCTCTCACGAAGGCTTAGTTCTTCCTTAGTAGGGCGCCGCGCCCCTACTGGTCTCTGGCGCTCCCCTGTCCCCGGGATCCTGGCTTCTGCTAGCGACCCTTGAAGATGGGCTTGGGGAAAGTCCACGTGCGGTGTCTCTTCGCAGGGTAGTCACGCTTGGAGTGGCCCAGCTTCCCGCAGCCGAAGCAGCGGACGTCACGCTGTTCGGCGGACCCGAGCTCCATGGGAACTGGTCCGTTGGGGCTTGTTCGACCGGGAGCCGACAAGGAGCTCCCAGGCCATGCTGAGGCCGGCGTACGCGCCTGGCGATGGCTGTACTCTTCTTGAAGAGCCACTTGAATTGCCTCTTCAAGGGTGCTTGACTGCACCCGGAACAGCTGAGTGCGTGCGGGGCCCACTCGAAGGCCGTCCATGAACACAGTCATCTTGATGTGCTCGTTGAGTGGGCTTCCAACTAGGGACGCCGTGAGCTCCCGTATCTCTTGCACATACTCGTGCAGTTTGCGCCTCCCTTGTTTACACGAGAGGAAGCGCGAACGCTGGCGGTACTCGTAGTTCGCCGGCGAGGGAACGCGGCTCGGAGCTGTTCACACAGCTGAGCCCAGGAATGTGAAACATCCAGGGGATGTTGCTTCCCGTGTGTACACCCAGCTCTTAGCACGGCCGCTAAGGTTGGAGAGTGCAAAAACAACACAAAGTTGCTCGGTCGAGATCAGAGCCGCGTCCATTGCGAGCTCTACTTCTCGGACCCAGAAGTGAAGGTTCTCGCCTTCCTTCCCTTCATACGGCTTAACCTTCAGCCGTATTGGCTTCAGGTGTGGCGGATTTGTTTCCGCCGGCGGATCCTGCAAGTTTCTCGCACATGTGCAATGAGCCCTTGCTTGTAAGCGTCAAACGCATTGACACGCTCGAGCTGCTCGGCCGGTGTTGATACCACCAGGCTCTGCAGGGACTCCATCCTGAAGATGCCAGCCATCTTCCGAGCCGACTCGAACTGTGAGTCGTTCAGATGGGAGAAGTCGTTCCTATCCAGGGCGACGAACTTCAGAGAGGTTCAAATAGTCTGCTTGCGTTGGCGTGGATTGACTACAAGTGCTACCAAGTGTGACGGGGTCACACAGCACCTTGCGCTAGAGGAAGTTATCTTCCTAGAGTATACAAATTCTCAGTGAACGGCAGTTCACAGGGTCCCCTCTTTATTTAAAAGAGAGCGAAGTGACCTAAATAAGGGTAGATTGTAAACTGAGTATATTTATAGGGTAGATTAAGTTTGGGGCTTAATACTAACTATAAGTCACCTATAGAAATGCAATGTCGTTGATCAATTGGTTGACTTGGGACCGACCTTGATACTTTGTACCCAGATATCCCGGAGTATGACGTGTCATACGCCTTGAAGTGTGAAGTGTCACACTTCATGTAGCCAGGGTACACTTAGGGCTACGTACCCTGTTACACTTTGCATATATATTGACAAAATAACACACGCTCGTGGTTTTAAAAAGGGTACTACATACTTTAGTAGCAGACTACAGTACTTCGGACGTGCTGCACAGCAGTGACTTTCCCATAGTTAAGTACTTAGTATCTTAGAGCAGTCATTTTGGTAATTTTGTACTAAGGGAAATGGTCAAATGACGAGCCTTTGCCAAACTAGTAGCCCATTAGTTTTGACCAATATTATCCATCTTTGCGTGAACTAACCGTTTTGATTAGACAAAAAGAAAACAGCTGCGTCAGAGCAAAAACCTTAAAGAGTTAATTTACCAGTTCAGTTCCTACCACCTGCAAATGGGGGCGTCTCGAGCCAACTACACTGAAGCAGAACGAGATGCAGCTGTGCAAGAAGTCCTCGCTGGAGCTGAAATGAAAGTAACGAGTAGAAAGACCAAGATACCGCTTAAGAAGTACGTCGCTGCGGAGCGCAAGGGCAGTCCAATATGGCCTCAGCGCCGAGGGCGACCGCCACTGCTGTCTAAAGATGCTGAGGATAGTATCCGGGACTAGATGCTAGCTCGCCAAAGGTGCGGCCAACCTGTTAGTCGCCACGACGTACTTGACAAGGCTCAACAGATAGCTCAGCTATGTGTGGATTACCCGTTGCGGATGGGTGGTTACGTCGCTTCCTGGAGCGCTACCCATCGCTTTCGCTAAAAACGTCACAGTCTGTGTCGAAAGCACGCAACGAAGTTGCTGAAAGTGACTTGTCTATACTGTTTTCATCGCTGGCAAAAGTGGTTATTGAACACAATATGGGCGCTTCTCGAGTCTTCAATGTTGATGAGACTGCGATCCAGACTACACGGGAGCGCAAACTGGTTCTTGCCGCTAAGGGCTCGACTAACGTGTGGCACAAGGATGCCAAAACAAGCTTCCATCTCAGTTTTGTTGCATGCGGTAGTGCAAGTGGGTTTGTAGTCCCCCACTGTCTATCTTCCCCGGCGAGAGTGCTAACGACGACCTGTTCGAGTTCTGGCCGCTTCCAGGTGCTGCGGTTACGACGACAGAGAAGGCGTTCATGACGAGCAAGGTTTTTGCTCAATGGCTACACTTCTTTTCTAATGCGGTACCAACGCCTATTCAAAGGCCTCTTCGACTGGCTATGGATGGCTGCTCGTCCCACATTTCTATGAAGATCGTCGATGTTGCTGACAGTATCGGTGTTAAATTGGTGTGTCTACCTCCTAATGGAACCCATCTACTCCAGCCATCGGATGTCGCGGTGTTTTCGCCTTTTAAAACGAGCCTTAAGACCCTTGTCGATGGATTGTTACCAAGCCTCGGCGAGTCAACCATCGACAAGGCAGCTGCATTGCAGTTAGCCGCACAAGCTTCTTCGGCGCGGGCGGCGAAGAAGCTTGTCAAGACGACCAAGAACTTTGGCATTGGTGTGATCAACTAAGCCAAACATGGAATAACCCTCGACTTGGTATCAATCTTGCACCTGGATTTCGTAGTTGCGGGATATTTCCTCTTTCCCGGGTCAATATGCATGCTAAGCTAGCTAACTTTGATCAAAATGGGCTGTCACTTCTAGAGGGCTAGGTGGTAAATCCTTCCCATCATCATATTGACACAGAATCATTTTTTTAAACGAGTTTATCATTTTCTGCAAGTCAGACCTTCACTTCTGCTCCACAGCTTTTTGCTTCTTCTTCGAAGCTCTTCTACCTTGTTTGGATTTCGCGCGCTTGTTTGCTGATTCCTCCTCCAATAGCTCGCGCGTTATTATCCGTCCACCCGTTTTCTCCGGTGTCGCCTTTTGCCTTTCGCAGGTCTCACTGGTAAAACTAGTATATGTTGCTTCACTATCTGGGAAATTCCAACCCAGGCGGCATCTACAGGCAGCGGGTCTCAGCTGGGAAGTTATCAATACTCAAACCAAGTATAAGAAGGCTACTAAATTGGCAAGCACCAAAATTGGGGCGTCTCAATGGACCGACGAACTTGTACGCCCATCTAGAACATAACTCACAAAAAATTACAAAAATCAACGAGTATATCATTTTTCTATTAGGTGTCAATTGGACGTTTCTTTAGGAATTATCGCCATTTATGACAGTACCTTGTCAGGGCTACTGATTTGACCATTTACCTTACTTATAAAGTATTTCTTACGAGGGACAAGTAGACTAGACTTCATAGAGTTTAGCTGGGGCATTGCCTTTTTGCACTAAACTGGTCATCGACCTTTTCTAAAATAAATATACTTTTTATCTTAGCACTGCAATTGTTGGGACGGAAAACATGAGTACATAGTAAAGCTCGTGCTGGAGGGGGGCGCTAAAGCAAAGCACGTGAACCTATGGGAGAGTAATGCCTTACAATGAACTTGCAGAAAAAAAAGTTCTATTAATGTTTTTTGTTTTGCCTTTCTTCGTAAATGATGCTAGGTTCACCAGAAGGCAATACATTTCGCGTTCAAGTGTTGCCGTACCGCATTGAAGTGCGACGGGTAATATTTGCAGTATTAAATGTAAAATCAAATGCTCACTTTGATCTCTCAGGCTCACAATAGTCTACATTAATGTACTGTAGTCATACAGTACTGCACCCCGTTTTCGCGCCTTGGACCTTTGCTAAACTTCCGGATGTGATGATCGTGCTTCCAAATGAACTATTGTTTGTATGCTAAACTCTGATTTATTTGCAAATCCTATAAGGTCCACCCCCGCGAAAACGGGGTGCAGTACTGTATCGGATATTATTATCAGAGAGGATGGGGGCGTATCGCAGTTCGGTGTTAACCACCAGAACGAGTTGAGTGCAGTTACATACATATGTATCAAAATAGTTTCTCCTGTAAAAAAAACGGGCTTCTGTACGTCCAGCCGACGAAGAATACAGGGAACGATGCGAAAGGTATCACACTATAATACAGCTGTACATCATTGGCAATGCCGGTACTGTATCTTCTTTTGCAATCTTGTTTCTTTTTGTAATCCCACATGACGCTGATGCAGGATTCTTTTTCTAAATGTACGGGGCCAGTACCCGCCACCGTGGCGGGTATCGATGCCGCATCGGTCAACGTCAAGCATAGAAGACACGGCTGTGCAAAAGCGCCCATGTTTTGGCCACATCTGGCTGCGCAAAAGGATGGCGGGAGTAAGTAAGCCCGGACAGAAGCAGCTGCTGTGGATGGTATGTACATTTTGTACTTTCAAGTATGTACATAATTGGTGTTAAGTACGGTACTTTATATTAAACGTGTTGACGTGTTGCTTGTGGAACTAAAAGGCTCAGCAATGTCGTAGCGTTAGGACGGGAATACAGGTACGATGAGCGAGATGTCTTAGCTATGATACTGTACTCAAATGTGTACTGGAAATCACCACTGGTACATAATTACGCTAAATGACTTTACTGTAATGGCAGCGGGAAATTAAGAGTCCACGTCAAAGTTTGTGTCACATCATCAGGAATTTCACTAGGATTGGGCATCTAAACAATTTGTGGACACCTGGAAGTTCCAGACTGGAAGTTCCAGTGGAACCCGCACGAAGGACTTTCTTTGAGCTGATTCTTTTACTTAAAACAGGCGTTCACTGAAATGAGATCCGTGGTCTCAAAATGAGCGCGCATTGACTCAATTTATCTATACATGTTGTGCCGATAACAAAAATTCTTATTGGAACTACCACAAGGGCGGCAAGAAAGCCACTAAACCATCTCTGTGCGACCGCCAACAGCGGATGGCCGGTAATTACGTTTACTTTTGTGAACATCAAGAAATAGGGACACTAATTTGTGCAAATGGCTTCCACAAATAGGTAGTGGGCGTCGAGAAGCGTAGCCGGGCCAATGGAGGACAAAGTCGCTCCTCGGAGCGACAGGGCGCAGGGCTGGAGGATAGCGTTGCAACTTGGGGGTCTGGCGACATTGACTTCATTCTTCGACTTGCCGTCTCCCTCGCAGGCGTGTTCTGTGTTGCGCTTCAACACCTTCAACCGCGAGTGTCGTCCCGCCCTACATGCGCATGCAAATGACGCCGTCGTCCGCACTGAGCGGCGCCGAGCCCGTCGTGTATGCGCCCAAAGCTCAAACGTTCGCATTCCGCCACATTGACGAAGAGGATGCGACCCCCGCGCATCTTCCCCATCCTCCTGTCTCGTCGACCCCGGCTGTCTTTCAACCATGGGCTGCAACAGACACCAAGCCCGAGTCGAGTAACGGTGTGCCACCCGCAACTCACACGCAAGAGTTGACGTCGCCAGTCTCGGCTCGAAGCCCCAAACAGCCCAAGCGTGACCTATTCGTGTGTCCCGAGGTGCACTGTGGGAAGCAGTTTCCGCGCTCCTTCGCTTTGAGACGGCACATGCGCATCCACACGGGCACGAAGCCGTACGCCTGCGACTACCAGGGCTGTGCGCAGCGTTTCAATACATCGGGAAACCTCAGTCGCCACAAGCGCATCCACAGTGGCGAGCGTCCGTATCCATGCTTCTTCGAGATGTGTGGCAAGCGATTCAACACGAGCACGAAGCTCAAACGCCACATGCGAATCCACTTTCCAGACGGACAAAACCTTTTCCGGTGTACGGAGCAGGGCTGCTCGTGGGCTTGTGATAACTACAAGGAGTATGTGCAACACCAGAAGTTGCATGGCAGTGTGGCCGAGGGATTTAACAACGCGTCAAACGAGAATATCAATGCCAGTAATGACAACAAAGAGAGTCTTAAGGCCACACGAGTCATGCCGTCGCCCATGGGCGTCATGCAACCAGGGGCTGAGCACCGACACGTCGAGTTCCCGCTCCCCTCCGTAGCGAACGACGAGTTCTACCAGGACCGCAGAATGTACAATGCTCCAATGTCTCAACTACGAGAAGAGCAAGTCTACCGCCGCGGCTCTGTCTTGTCATCGAAGTCCGTTATGGACGACCGTACGCACCCTCAAGGAGGTGCACCTCGCCTCCCGTTCCCAACTCGTGCCTTCCCGTCCGAGACTGGTCTGTTCGGCTCGTCGTTCCACCCACTTCCTCACTTGCCACCGACGTCCTCGCATCGCTATTATGACTCGACAACGTCGGCTAGTTCGGTCGAGATGGCTACAACTAGCAGTCCGAATTACGTGCCGTCGGGCTCCTATGTGTCAGCCCAAGCGCCGTACTCGTCGTATGTGCGTGGCACAGAGAGCAACACACTCGTCAGCTCGTACCAGCCTACGTCGACAACGACGACCTTCATGTCCACGTCCGAGTCTCACTATGCGCAGTCGATTCGGCAGTACGAGAGCTCGTCCCCGCACGACGTGAGGCAGCACTCTCCACCGCAGCAGCCGCAGTCACAGTCGGGGTATGGAGGCAACCCCGTACCGGCTGAGTTCACGGGGGAGGAGCTCAGCGCCGTGCTGGAGCTCATGAAAGACTCGTAAAACGGAGTCAACATGGATGGAGGTCGGTGATTGTTTGTTTATAAGCTCGGAAGCTCTTGTGCAGTTGGCTGAAGTGGACAAGTATTCTAGTTTTATAGGTAGTGAGGCAGGTCGGCAGCGGAGAGAGCTCACGTCTGCAGTTTAATGTTGTAAATACCGAAGGATCTTTTGCTAAGCCATTGACACAACACAAGCAGAAGTGCCACGTGGAACTTCACTTCAACGCCGACAGACGGACCGATGGCTTGATTTGACCCCTTCCCACTCAAACTTCGAGTGGGGAGGATGGGGCTGTCAGCTACATTGCAGCGGGTCAAGTGCTCGCGTTAATCGCCGACAGCAACTGAAGGATGCGTGACGTTCGTCTGCAGTTCCGTTGACTGAGTCCATCTTGTTGCTACAGTACTGTACAATGTAAATTTACTTGACAAAGTTTTTTTTTTACCTACACTTGGTTCGAGTATGTGACCTTTTGACTTGGGGGGGGGGGGACTATAGTCACCATAATGGTGGTCGATGCCAATTGAAGCGGCACCGCAACTGCAACATGCTTGGTTGCTCGTTTAGGGATCTAACAAAACCAGGTCGATGTTTTTTGAAGTAGTGGTCAGAGAGTGGGATGTCGAAGAGAGCTGTAAAGCCGGTGGTGCCACGTCGACCCGTGACGCGGTTCATCAGCGAATCGCGATGCGAGTTGGATAATGGGTTTAATTGGTTAAAACTAAAATATTCAGCTTCAAAATGGGCAAATAAATTATGACTTGCAATAAATTGCAATAAGTCAGATCGCTGGCGATGTCAGCTATCCTGTATTTTCTCTGAGGCATTTTAATAATGGTATACCGAATAACCTTAGTTATGAATTACTCTTTGTTATCAATTACACTTCAATGTGGCCAATCAGAAGCCGCCAAACGCTGAGTGGGAAAAGAAGCCGTGCATCCTTAGTTATCAATTACACGGCTTGACAACCAGTAATTTGCGTACATTATCTAGTACTGGTCTCACTTCTCAAAGCCGCAGATGAGTCCAACGCAACGAAAACGCCCAAAGGGGAGGCCTCGCCTACCTGGTGGCAAGGGCCGCCAAGCACCAACGAACACCATTACGGCGTACACTGCTTCTCACAAGCTGAGGGTACTAGAGTATCTAGACAAGAACGGTAGTATTGCGTCCGCAATTCACACGTTCTACCCTGATTTACCAGCTAGCAAATATAATTGCCGCCGTATCCTCATTTATTCATGGCGTCGATCCCTTTGATGATCTTTTTCGTGAACTTGCTCAAATTTAAATAGTGTTTGTTCTGTTTGTTCGAAGATACCGATAGTCGGGACACGCAATTTCTGGTCTCTGCAGTGCAGAGACCAGAAATTGCAGAGTCTGCACTGCAGATTGGGTGTAATGCATAACTAAGGTAATTCGGTATTAGCGCCCCGAGTGGGGTCCACCAAATCGCGCACCCGACTAGTTTACCGAAGTCAGACATATCGGGAATTGTAGCGAGCGCAAATCCTCTTGCCTCTAGAAACAAGGCTGCTGGTCAGTGCACTTAGTTTCTACCAATCATTGTCATGTATGATAACTACCAGAAACCATTTGGCTAAAACTTTAATTTTCCTACGAGAGCGCACTCATCTCGCTTAGCTCAATCCTGCAATGGTGTCAAAACGAGCAAGCTATACAGAGTCCCAAGTAAATGCAACAGTCGCTCAGGTTCAAGAGGGAGCTTCAATAGAGGAGACAAGTAAGCTTCGAGGGCTACAGTATCGTACTCTTGCCTCATGGGTAGCTGCAGAGAAGCAAGAAACACCGCGGAAAGCAAAGCGACAAGGTCCGGCGCCATTGCTACCAGCTGAAGCCGAGAATAAACATATACAAGTGGGTGCTACGACGACAACAGGTGATTCGGTATGCGGTTCGGCAAGAGATCATTAGCAAGGCTAGCGAAATATCCAATCTCCTTTTCGAAAGAAGCCTCAGTGAAGGCTAGTACAAGCGCTTCATGCAGCGCTTTCACGAGTCCGGACAGCACAGTCGATTTCGAAGACGAGAAACAGCGTCACACATGATGATGAAACACTATTCTACACTACGCTAGCTCCTCGGTACGGTGAGCAAGCGTTTGACGCTTGTCAGGTGTTCAACATGGACAAAACATGCTTCGCCACGAGGAAGAACTCAAAGACAGTGGTGACAGCTAAAGGATCACGAAATGTTTGGACATCGGAGATCCCTACTCATTTCTACCTCACTATAGTGGTTTGTGGTAGTGCGAATGGGTTGGCTGCCCTCCTCCCAATCTGTATACTACCTGGAAAGACTGTAAAGATGAGCGTCTTGGACTTCTGTACGGTACCTGATGCGGGTGTTACAGTGACGGAATCGGGCTTTATGAACGCCGCGCTTTTTCATCTAGCTTCGCTTCTTTGAAGCTAACGTCCCTTCTGATACACAAAGCCCCTTGCTGCGTATTATGGACGGGTGCTCTGCGCAATATTTGGTGAAGGTCTGTGATACGGCCCAGAAGCTACCCGCTGGACGTAGCGGTTTTTGGATCTTTCAAGCATAAGCTGATAACGCTGGTTAATACATTTGTTGGGGCGGATGGAAACGATACCATACTAAACGAAATTACACCCGAACTGGCGGGGCTTACGTAGCAGGGCTGTTACGTTAGTGTGGCACCCAAGCAGGACTCAAAGGATGCGAGGGTTTACCCGTGGTCACTGACGAAAATGATGACGTCCCTCAAGAACTTCCAGAGCACCAGAAAATGCTGCAGGTTGCAGCGTGGCTGCCGATGAGGGCGCATATTCAGGTAGAGGTATTGGTGCTCCCTCGTTTGCGAGCGAAGAAGAAGCGCACTACAACTGCAGTGACATGGAGGTTGCTCACTAGAGAGCTTCTACAGCAGATTAACGAGGTGCCAAACGCGAAAAAGAAGGCGAAGGCAACCGGCAAGAAGTCGTCAAAAAGGAAGCAGGTGAGAAACAGCAACGAGAAGACCAGTGCGCGAAGAAGTGAACCAGTGACCACATCTGTAGTTGCTTTTATCGAAGAAACACTTGTCTAAAAAAAAACCACTGCTCGTCCAGCGTGCCAGCTGTGGCCCTAAATCTTAAAATATTGGCACTTATTCCTTATTGCAGAGTTGACGGGATTTTAACTCCCAGTGTAAAGTCGCAATCAGTGCGCCACAATGGAGAGATTGACGAGTGTGATGACGATTGACTAGAATCGGGGAGGAAGGACAAGGTTTTGACCTATTGCGGCCAACGATCTATTGGCTGACCATTTCACTGATCCTGGCTTATCCAACCCATTTGTTAATTATGGGGCGAAATTCACAATACTGGGGATTTCAGCTGTCCCATTTTCGTAAAAACTACCAGTTCTTATTTTTAAACCCGAGCATACTGGAAGCAAAGAGCTCGGATGAGAACTCAGAAACCGGTTTCCTTTTGGGATTCGATCATACTAAGCC